CCTTCGGTTGCGAATGCACTCTCTGAAACTAAGGTCTGCATTTATCTTGATTGTCGAGTTCATTGCAGTTGATTATTTAACGATTGTGATTGTCATCGATGTTGTTGTTATAGGCACAAGGTGAAGTGAAAGCGTTGAATACGTTCTTCAATTTAATGGCGACCGAACCAGCTCGTGCATTCTACGGCCTGAAGCATATCGAAATGGCGAACGAACACTTGGCGATTGAAACTTTATTACTGTCTGATTCATTGTTTCGTTCGAACGATATAAAACAACGTAAGAAATACGTCAATTTGGTCGAATCAATCAAGGAACAAGTTTGTTGTTTTTTCGTTTTTACGTTGATTCATTCATTCATTCGTTTTTTTTTCATATTTCCATCTTCTTCGTTTATTGGTCGTTTTTCTCTACTTCACTACTGTTTCATTATTTATCTTCGACAAAAGAAGAAGTCTATCGACCAATGAAGCTTGTCAAATGAGGTTTTTGCTTGTTCTCAATCAGTACTGTTTTGAGAACGAATTCCAGTGGAATGAGCTCAACCTCACTTATTGATTGCATTCATAACGGACTATTTAGCGATAATTATTTATTATCATTATCATTACTAACACTTTTCTTTGTATGCTTTTTGATATTTTTGGCGGAAAAAGGAATTGAATAAAAAATTGAATTGTTATGGTGGATGTGTTGTTTTCAGGGTGCGAATGTATTAATATTTTCGTCGATGCATCCCAGTGGTGAACAGTTGAGTCTGTTAAGTGGCATAGCAGCCATACTGAAGTTTCCGTTGCATGAGCTCGAAGATGAGGATATGTCCGATAGTGATGATGCTGATGAAAATAACGAATCGAATAAGAAATGATACTTTCTCCGAATCTTGTTCCAATTTTATTTGCTTATTTCATTCACCTTTTTAACCTATTCGCTTGCTTATTTATTTGTGATTCACTGATAACGTACAAAATTGATAAGTTATGTATGTATTGATTTCCATTTTCACGCGTATTCAGACGTACTGTTCTGTTTTTCGCAAATTTTACATCGGTCTTTCATTCACGTCATCATCATCTTCATACATTATTGCTGTGATCGATCGACATGTTCGCTTTTCCCAATGACTTTATAGTTTTTCATGATTGAATTTGTTTGTAACCATTCAGTCCACTTATGCAATTTGTATATTGACAACATTTCACGATTAATACGTTTTGAGTACAACGGTAGTGGTATCATTTCTCGTTTCAGCAGAAGAATAAAATAGATCTGATTGCATTCTTTTGTATGTTCATCTGCTTAATCGATATTAGTGATGACTGATTACGAGCACACAAATGTCCACTAGTTATCAGTAAATGACATTTTTAACTTCACTNATTTGAAATTGATTGATGCATTTGATCAGATATGACTTATCGCCTTCAGATTGATTGATTTCATATGAATCATATGATGAAATGAATGAATCAGTAGAAAGTGAAAAGAAGGGAAGGAGTACACATCGGACTGATTTACTGATTCTGAAAGGAAGTTTGATCATCTGAAAGCAACAAAGAGTGTGTAATGGTATGAACAGTTTATTAAATTCTCATGAATCAAACGCAATAAGCTGATGATGTGTCAGTGTTTTTGTCATAAATAATGATGAAGTATGTTTACGAATGTAATGGAAAAGCGATAACGACTATAGTACCAACCGAACGTACTCGTGTTTGAAACGAATAAAGTGAACACGTGGAAATACCGATAGATTGTAACGACGCATCACGGAGATGTGGATGATTTGTTTGCTTTATCGTGCATAATTAACGTATTTATTTGTATAGAACGGACGACCTGGCGATACGATTGCCACGATAATAAAAGGAAACGAATATACGAATGAGTTGGTGAATAAACAGTGCCATCAACTGATAAAGTAAACAACGTTTCGGAAATATTCACATCACTGAACAGTTGCTGCTAGATTATAGCATAACCAACGTATCGTTTAAAATGAAATCATTTCATAGTATTTACAATGGAAATAAACAAACGGACTGGTGGCTGATAAATGAAATTCATTTGTTGAAAAGAGAGAAGGAACTTGTGGCTGAATATAATTTTTTCCACTCACGAGAACCATCGTTAGGATTACAATCATTTGCATTTCGTTGAATGATAAAGTTTCATAAGAATTCATTCAGTGATATCACAATTTATTTGAGATAGCTGTGAGAATAACTAGTTTTCATGTTAAAGACATGAAGAAAAGAATAAATTCAACTTTCAAGACTTAACGAGCGAGATTTAAACGAATGAGACGTGATCAGTAGCAAACTGAATTCAAGAACAACATCAATAAATTAAATGGCATCAGAAGCCAACTCGAACTCATCGTCACCCATCGTGAAATCATCCCAAACCAGCTGTGCTCCCAGTATCGGGTCATCATTTCCAATGAACGGAAACTCTTTGTCGTAGTCGTCGTCAAACTTGCTTTCGTCATCAACTTGCAGTAGATCATAATTCATATTCCATGCAGCACTGTTGTTGTGAATATCGTTTGTTGTCAACGACATATCCAACGGTTCGTCACAAATTGGTATTGTTGAGGTGGATGGCGATGGGAGTGTTGTGTTTGTTGTTGAGATATTACGATTCGGACTTCGTGGTACCACATGCAATGGGGACAATGATGCAGAAGATGGTAGGGGTGATGCAGGAGATTGGTCATTATGATTAGGTGATAAGTGATTATCAGTTGTGGGATGGAGATATTCGGGTGCTAAATAGATATGCGATGTCGGGCTATCCACTCGACTCGTTTGGCTGTTTTGCGAGGTTGATGCCGTCTTGACAAGAGCACTGGCTGCTGTTGACGATGATGCAGTAGTTCGAGTATCTTCTCTTTGATTTGATTCATCTTCTGCTTTCGAGCTGCTGTCTTGCCGCTCGTCAACAAGCATTTGTGAACAGAACTGCTCAAGTTCGGGATCATCCTCGAAAAGTTCGTTGATGATTTCTTCGAGATCGATCCCATTAATGAGACTATTACCATCATCACCAGTTGCACCCTGCTCGACGCCGACGCCTGTTCCCTCTGCTGGGGCCCGTGAATGGATTCTGCAGATCCAAGGGACGACTGCGCTGAGCAATGGTTACTTTTGGTGATCTCTTCTTCGATAGTCTCATTTTGATTATTATCATCAGTGTTGTTGTTGTTGTTGATAGTATTATTAGTAGTAGCATTTACACGATGATCCATCATCGTCTTATAATCGTTGACAAGCATTTCTAACTGAGTATTTCGTTCCTTCAGATCATCGCACAATGAAGTGATTCGTTTGTTCTCATCTCTCAACAATTTATTCTCATTCACTAACTGATGCAGTGCTTCTTCAAGTTTACACGTTCTCACCTTTTTACGATCTCGTGCCGTTTGTGCCGCTACACGATTCTTGATCTTACGACGGTTAAGCTTCTCCTCGGCTGTCAAATGCGTCAGACGTTCACGTTTCCGAACAGGATGGGTATCGTTCGCGGACAATCCAAGCAAATCGTCAATTGATGTCGCTGCTGAAAGGGTCGGTAGCGGTGATGCCGTGGACGCTCTTCTGTTGTCGTCATCATCATGAATATCATAATAGTCACTCTCAGTCTTNTGTTGGACGTGATCGGTTGGAGGATGGCTGCAGTACTGGGTAATATTGCACGATTGGATGCGCTCGATTGTACGGTCAGGGTTGGGATGTGACGATTGATGGTGATCTGACGAATTGACGTGGACGGAGTTGACGACGAGGAACACACTGAATTTGTATAACTTCTGGTTGAGGGTTGATGCGAGGCATGAGGCCTAGCAGGCACTATATAAATTGTTCGGGTGGTCATCTTCTCTTCTCTTTCTTCTTCACACTGAGGCTCAACAACTGAGATTGCCAGTTTCTGGCTGAAGAAAGACTTCCCGGGAAATGGCTACAGCGTTACAGAATATGCTCGGGTAAGGCAGCATCAAGCTAACCTCAGAGAGTGTCAGTCGATCGACGAGATCACAAGGACACGTCACCATAAATTGTTCGTTTCGGCAGCGATTGGTTATAAACGCGGAATAGACCACGCCTTTGAATCAATACGATGATGAGCGAACGAAATGAAGTAGTTGGCGTTAGATATATTTCATAAGTGAGAATGTGTACGACGGCTGGATGATGCAATATGAGGTGATGCGGGCAGTGCTGTGGTATGATGCAATAAATCGTAATGCTCACACGGCTGTCACACTCTATGCTAATGTTTATGAATATATTAACTGATAACAGTACAGTGGTTACAGAGTTCCAACGATTTTTCAGTGCTGGGATCGAGTAGTTCGTAAATTGTAGAGATGTGACATGTTCAACATATTCTTTCTGATCAGTCACAAACAATTAGGAATTAGAAACAGTTTATTTAACAAGTTATACAGACATTTTATAAAGAAAGTGGTATTAAAATTGACACACCAACAAGATATTCGATTGAGTGAAATTTGAAACAAGTTCTGAGAAAGCACTATTAGGGCATTGATCGCTGAATCACTCATTCCGTTTCGCAACAGTGTTTCAAAACTCAAATCATCGACGGAGCAAAGCTTGAGATTATTTCATTAAGTGGATCAGTGTTTGGTGCAGGATTGGGTTCGAGGAATTTGGCAATCGGTGGGACTGTTCTAGTTTTTGGTTGAATATTTCTTTGGTTGGGGAGTATTGCACTGTGCTCCGACTTTAAATGCACGCGATCCTTTTGCTTCTTTAATTTCACCACACAATCTACCTTTCGCAGTTTCATCGTCCGTTTTGAAAAGAAAATATTGCCAGTAGCGAGAATGATGCCGCTTTCGTTGTGTTTTTAATATGTGCGATTGAACGTGTATTGTTTGAAGACATATTTTCCAAATGCATGCGAATTTGATGGGTCATAATAATGAAAGAAAAGCAACGATGACGATGAATGTGTGTGAATGATCGCGACTGCCCCATCTAATTGAGATATGTGTAAGAAAATGGCGATATCTCCTCAGGATAGCTAAATCGCTGGACAGCATATACCCTGGATTCCAGGGTATATGCTGGATATGACAATTTATATGCTTTCATCACTCCTGATTTCGTATTTCATCGTCATCGTTGCTTTTCTTTCATTATTATCCTGAATCCAGGATCCAGGATAATAATGAAAGAAAAGCAACGATGACGATGAAATACCACATTAAGAGTGATGAAAGCGTATAAATTGAGGCTGTTACCCGTTGACTGAGACAGTTTTTGCTTGTTGCACACTAAATTCACATTGCATTCCTACAGCATCCCTCCCATCACACAAGTGTTATTGCACTGACGGAAATTACGAATTAATTTAGTTTATTGCACGAAAATTCATTGTAAGCACATGTAACATGAAGTAAATGAGTGCCGACAATAGAAGTGGAAAATTAAAGTAATATCGGATCGTTTTCACGCTGAGTGTGCAACAAGTTTGGTTTAAGCCAGCCATTTGTGCATCCTACAAGAAAGCCGCGAAAACCTTTGAACCAAATTTGTTCAAGAAGCTCGAGAAGTTCAGGTAGTTATGTCCATAACAAGAAGTTAGCATAAGCTATGAACTCTAATATTTCCATTACTTCATCCGTTTCAATCATCAGGTAACATGTTCAACGGGTATCTCTCTTACGATTCAGTCGCCTGTACATTTATTCAGAGCATCAGCTGGAACCTATTTGCAAAGCTAATAAGACTGTATTCCATCACAAATTGCCATAGTTCGGCCCATGATTAAACTCAGACTAAGGTCACGTTATATGGCTTGATGAGAAGTTATCCAGTACGTATGGTAAAAGAGATTGACGGGAACGAAGATTTAGTGCGTGATGAGAGTATGAAGAAATGATTTTATTCGTTTACACTGACGATCAATAAATTGTTAAAGTGATCCATAAGAACGAAGAGAAAATATGAATCGAATAAAACAGATCACATTGATCACAGACGATTTGCCTATCAACGATAGAGGATTACATAAAACGAGAAAACTGTGAATAAATGACGACTTC